CACCATGTTGGCCAGGTTGGTCTTGAACTCCTGACCTCAGGTGATCCGCCCACCTCTGCCTCTCAAAGTGCTGTGATTACAGACGTGAGCCACAGCACCCGGCCCCCTCACATTAACTCTTAACAAGAGGTGCAATTAACCCCATGTCACTCAAGTACACACTGGGGATGGCAGAGGCCAAGTGACTTTCTCAAGATCACACAGTATAAAAATGGCAGAGCTGAGGTTCAAACTTGGGTCAGAGCAGCCCCCGCTCTCAACCACTACATTCCTCTCTGCCTGTGAACCAGGGTGAACCAGACACAGACTCTGCCCCAAGGAGCTCCCAGCCACGTCGGGAAGCAGTCTGGAAAAATCCATCATTCCGGTTCTTTAAACACAGCCAGGTGCCCCCCACCTCCCAGCCTGCCACAAGCTGTTCCCTCTGCCCCACACCTTCACTGGGCAAGCTCCTTCTCCTTCAATGCAGTTCAAACACCTCTCCTCAGCAAAGGGCACTCAGATCATCTCTTCTGAGAGCTCCATAAAGGGGTTACACAAGAGACGATGTACTTGATCAAAGCTAATTATTAACTTCTAGACCAACGTGGATTAGGAGATTAAACCCTTGGCTTCATAGAACCCAACCCTATAATCCTGTGGAAAATAAACTCGCCACAAGCATGTGACTTTCTCTTACATTTGCTGTCCAGGTTTCTAGATAAATACTGTTAATCTACACTGGGTTCATATTATCCCTTAACATGGCCCTTCTCTTCCATACAAATGAAAATCGTCCTCAAGTTATGCTAGTAAATTTCCTTCAAAGAAGGAAATCCCAACATTTATTCCCAAAGGCTGAACGATTCTGCCAGCCCCTCCCTGGGGTATCTGGCAACGTCTGGAGACAGTTTTGGCTGCCACGACCGGGGGAGTGCTGCTGGCATCTCGTGGGTGGAGGCCAGGGACGCTGTAAGGTGCCCTCCAGTGTGCAGGATGACTGCCCACAACAAAGTGGCATCTCTCCCAGAACATCGGCTAGTCAGAGCAGCCCTGCTCTCACTTCTTCAGCAACAGGTTGACAGAGACAAGTACAATATGGGAGAACTAGAGAAAGCTTTAGAAAACTTATTTTTTAGAAATGATAATATTTCTGTTAGAACCATAGAAAGCTACTACTTCTGGAGTGCCAGGGAGTTAAATGCCCTACCTATTTGATCTCTAACCGTATACAGTAGTTTTATCCCCTACTTAAGGCTCAGAGAGGTAACATGCCCAAGGTCACACACTGATTAAACAGGAGGGCTCACGATGAACCCAGCCAGCAGGAACTCCTGAACCGGCACTCCCAGCTGCAGTGCCAGCCCTCCCCACCCCCAGTAACAGCACTCATGCCCGCCCCCACAGCCCGTGAAATGCCTTGTCTGTCTACCCCATCAGACTGTGAGCTCCGCAGGGGCAGGCACTCTCTCTAAAGCTCAAGCTGAAGTCTGGGACAGAGGTGCTTGTGACAGTGCAAGTGACAGTGTGGGTGAAGGACAGATGTAGCCTGGGCCTGCAGCTTCTGGTCAGGACTGGCCAGCCATCCTGTCACTCCCCTTCTCCGATCTCACCCAGGCAACCCCATCCAGCAGCCAAAGTCAAACCTGCCCATCTCCACTCTTCCTCCGAGCACGTTCTCCTAGGCTACACTGTCCACACATCCTTCACAACCCAGAGACTGATCCACTGAGGACAAGGAAAACAAAAGGCAAGAGAGTGTGGGGACAAAGTGGGGAAACGGGATGGCTCAGAAGCCAGGGCTGGGAAGCCCAGAGGGCCAGCTCTAGCCCCAGCCCCGCCTGCAACAAAGACTCACAACGTCCACAGCCTTCTGGGTACCTGCTGTGGGCCAGGCCCTGGGCTGAGCTGATGAACATTCGCTGTAACTCTACTCACCTGTAAAACGTTTAGTGCGCTCTAAACATTCTGGCACTGAAACCCTTTCCCCTCAAAGAAACTCTAGATGGAAACTCTTCTCTAACATTTTTAAGACTCTAGGACAAGAAAACCCTAGACTCTGCCCATGTCATCACTTGTTTTGACTCCCTTTTCTTCTATTCCATTATCTTCCCAAAGGTAATTCAGAGAGGCTCATAATAACAATGTCACAGCCATCAAAAGAAAGATAAGGAGACAGGAGCCAAGGAATAAGAGAAAAGACACTTGTTTTCTATGGCGCAAGGCTGAGTGTGACTTTCAAGCAACAGACGCTTTAGTAATGATCTAGAAACTGCATAACCAGCGATGCTTCCTTTCAAGGGGGAAGAGGATCCAATACACACAGCTCAGTCAGCTGAATCGCAAAGGCAGCAGACACAGCAACGTGGCTATGATCACCAGAAGCAACTGATGCTTAAAAGTTTACTACATGTCTGGATCTGTGTTAAATTTCTCACATCCTAACCCACTTAGTCCCCACTGCCACAGAAGGAAGGGCTCATTATCCCCACTTCTCAGGTGAGGCAGCACAGACAGAAAGTGCAGGGACAACGGTGAGCGGGTGACGTCTGTCAACAGCATAATGGGCACATGTGCCCAGCTCCTCCGTGTACTGTTTTCAGGATGAGAAAACTGACTGGGAGGTGAAGGAATTTGCTCAAGACCACAGAGCTGGACATGGTGCAGGTTGTGGGAATTCCAAAGCCACACTCCTTCCACCGTGCTGCTTCCCAGCCAATCCCATTTCCAGCAAGGTTTCCCAGATTTGCCAAGAAGCCCAGGTATTCTGAAAACCCATCCTCAGGCCCTTCTCGCTGAGCTTCTGATTCTGATGTCTGGATGGATCCTGAGGACCACATGGAACAGGGACCAGGTGGCATTCATAAGCAGGGACAGCTGAGCGCACTCGCCTGAGCACAGGGGAGAGTTCCGCCACGCAAATCTAACCACAGCAACACCGCTGCAGCTATAGCCCCAGAAGAGATAGTGACACGGTCTCCCAAAAAGTTCCCGGGTTCCTCCCACGGACAGCAATCGCTGAGTTACTGCGTTCTGAGACCAGGAACTCCACTGATGGTACCAAGACACCTATCTGTTAGTACACTCAAGAAGACAGTTTCCTGACAAAACCACAGGCCACACCACAGATCGTTTGCTCAGGACTGGTCTTAGGCTCGTCTGCGATGATCCCATTTCGCTGATGAAGCAGCTGAGGCAGTGATACATTACTACGTGTGGCCACAGTCACAGAGTCTCTAGTGGACTCCAGCCAGCACACCACACCACCTCAAAGGGACACCCAGTACTGCAATGTCTGACACGGGTTCTGCTACAGACACGTATGTGGCAACCAGGTCCACTGCAGAAATGTTCCCACCTGTCAAGCCCTGGCCCCAGAGACCTCCAAAGAGCAGCTATGGAGCAGATTGCTATCTTTTTTTTGTTTGTTTTTTGAGATGGAGTCTTGTTCTGTCACCCAGGCTGGAGTGCACTGGTGCAATCTTGGCTTATCACAACCTCTGCCTCCCGGGTTCCAGGGATTCTCAATCTCCCAAGTAGCTGGGATTACAGGCCCGCACCACCATGCCTGGCTGTTTTATATTTTTAGTAGAGACGGGGTTTTACCATGTTGGCCAGACTGGTCTTGAACTCCTGACCTCAAGTGATCCACCCACATCGGCCTCTCAAAGTGCTGAGATTACAAGCGTGAGCCACCGCACCCAGCCACAGATCTCAATTCTACACATACTCTCCACAGCCCCCGTGTCCCTCCTCCCAGCACACCACGGTTCAACAGTTCACATTTGCTTGTGTGACTGACTGAGGTGTCCACTCCCACCACTCCCAGGCTACAAGCCCACCCTAAGTCATAACCCAAGACAATTTCTCTCACCGTATTACCCCACCTGACTGGCCTAGAACGTGGCCTGGGAAACAGGCACTCATTGAACCAAAGCACAAGAGCACAAATAAGAGGCAGGAGCTGAAGGCACAGCCCCCATGGGGCTTCAGGGACACAGGAACTCCAGCACCTGGGTGACAAGGCCCCATGGGGACAGGCTGCATGGCCTGGCCCAGCAAGGGTGGGAATGCATGTGGCTGCAGTGCACCTCCACAGCAGGGGCAGTGCCAGGACAGGCACACAAGAGCATAGCAGGAGCATGGGGACACGGCTGGCACACCCAGGATGCCAGCACTGCACTACACCAGTGAGGGCTGGCACTAGAAATGGGAGTTACTGGCTGGGCGCGGTGGCTTACACCTGTAATCCCAACACTTTGGGAGGCCAGGACAGGTGGATCAAGAGGTCAGGAGATGAAGCCCATCCTGGCTAACAGAGAGAAACCCCATCTCTACTAAAAATACAAAAAATTAGCCAGGCATGGTGGCAAGCACCTGTAATCCTAGCTACTCGGCAGGTTAAGGCAGGAGAATCACTTGAACCTGGGAGGCGGAGGTTGCAGTGAGCCAAGCCTGCGCCACTGCATTTCAGCCTGGTGACAGAGCAAGACTCCGTCTCAAAAA